TTCAGCAGCATTTGAGAAGCAAAAAATAGTACACAGGGCTGGTCAGGGTAAACGCATTAGGCCAACTGTGTCTGCTAGCGGGCATTTATCTGAGTTGGGGTTCTAGCTTCCCAGAGACTGGGAGACAGAGCCTCTCATTCTCCTGGGTGATGATTTTTAGAGAGGATGGCTCTCACGCACTGGAGAGAGAAGCTTCTGAGCTGCAAGAGCTACAAACATTTACAGTTGTGAGCCTTTAAAATAAATGCTCTAAGAAATGGGAGTCAGGAGCCTATGGCCAGGTGTGTGCTGGTGAGACCAAGCAGCAACATTTCCTGGTAGCCTTGAGCCTTCTCGGCAGGCACTTTAAGGGGCCTGGGGTCACTGTGGGTTGTGACTGTTTGCTGCTGGAAGCCACACTAGAGCTTGGTCAGGTCTCTGCAGTTGCTGGGGTGGTCATGTGAGGCGAGTTCTGCACTTCCTGCTGGTATTATTTCTCTCTTGTTTCTCTTTCCATTTGAGTCTTCTTTTCCCTTCCCTAAGTCAGATACTTGAACTGACTGCATTTCACCTCTATTTCAAACTGAACCTTGGACAAGTCCTTTAATTTCCTTAAACTTCCTTTTGCTCAGCTCCAGAAATAACACCTATCTCCACTGTGTCTTGAGTTTGAGAGAATTTATATAAAGTCCCCGACCCATGGAAGAACCTCAGTCGATGATTAGTGCACTCACTGAAATCAGGAGGTCATCTTTTAACAGGGTTGCCGGGGTTCTGATACACAGCATGTTCCTTGTGGCTCAGGTCCAGGCTGAGGTGAAGAAGATGTGGAGTCGGTGGAACCTGTCCTTCGACTGGAAGAGGACGCCGCCGTGTGGCAGCCACCGGTACGGCTCAGTGCTCACCACCCTGACGCACAGCACCAGCAGCCAGTCGCAGATGGCAGCCAGCACGCGCATGGTGCTCATCTCAGGCAAAGGCGCCAAGACCGCCGGCATCCAGCCTGACAGCCACGTGACCTTGCCCGGCTACGTCTGGAGTAACTCTGAGCAGGACTGCATGCCACCCTCCATCCACGAGGAGACCAAGGAAGGAAACGGGAGGCTGGAAGACGATAGGCCAACGGAGGAGGCTTCCAGGCCGCTGGAATTTAAGTCAGACACTGAAGGATACAAAGGGAAAACAGAGGATGGTCTCTGAACCACCTCTGTGGCTTTACCAGGCTGGGGCATCTGGTCCTGTGAAAGAATGTTGGCAGAGCCTTCTGTGGGAGCCCCAAGCTTGCATATTTAGGGTTAAGCTGTTACTTTACAAAAGTTGTCAAGTTTCACAAATTGAGTCTTATAAATACCTAATGGCACTAAAGAAGAGTTGTCAATGGAGTAGTTTATTACCTTATTTTGGCACCAAATTGCTCTCGAGGGTGTGGCACTTGCTGTGTGATTATTCTGGTTTTTGTTTTGTTTTGTTTTGTTTTTTCCTCTGCTACTTTTGTGTAGAAGAAGTTTCAGTTGCTCAACTATCATTTTCTCTCAAAGATATCATCCTCAATATAATGGAGACCGTTGAGTAGGTGTCATTTTCCTTTTAAGAAATTGCCACTCTTTTTTTCTCTTTCTCATTTTCATACACTTCCATCGTGTCATTTTGCTTGTGCAGAGCAGCAGTTAGGGTCCAAAAACCTTATGTTGAAAGAGGAATGATCTAAGAACAAGTACACACTGGAAAATTAATTGGCTGAATATAGACAAAATAATATGATAAGTTTGCTTCTTTTGAAGCAAGCAAAAGCACTCAAGAACATTATTTCACACATCTCTCCTTTTGAGTATCTCCTTTGTTACCAACCAAGCCTCGGGTTTTCACCCCTTGTTCTTTGCACACCATGACTTGTAGAAGGGTTTCCTCAGTTACTGAGCCAGTGTCTGCAAACCGATTTTATTTGTAATCATTTACCATTGATAGCAAGTCACACTGCATCTGTGTCGTTTCCTTCTTCATCCTATTACTATGTTGCATGTGGCATGTGGGATAAGTTAAAAGTTTGTTTTAAAAATGCATTTTGGGTCCCTTTAAATTTTCCTTTCGATGTCTCATTTTACTTTTGAGAACCTACTAACTTCTTGCCTCTAAATCCCCAGAGAGCAGCATTTAGCTTTTGCTAACTGGATTGAACTTGCCGTTTCCAGCGTGCTGCAGTGTTGAAGACATTACTGAGTGCATGTCACCTATCGGCAGGCATCCTGTTACATTTTTACAAGCATTAACTTAGTCAACCCTCACTACAAACTTAGAGTAGTTTTATCACTGTCTCCCGTTTTACTGATGACTCACACAGGTGGAATAGCTTGCCTGAAATTGCACAGCTCATGTTTGACTGAGCGTGGTTACAGACATAGAGCTATTGACTCGAGTCCTGTGTTCGTAATCATTTATGTTATATTTTCATCAGTATAGAATGACAGTTCATTATATATCGTCAATATATAATGATAGTTCATTAACCAATCAAAATAGTCAAGAAACGCATTCTGAGTAGAGAGAGTTTTAGGAACTTGTAATATGTTTTAGCTGCTGACCCTTTCCATGTAGTGGAAAAGACATAGCTATAGGAAATAAGAAATATGACAGATAAATATATTTCCAGGTAAAATAACACCGATCAAGCTGATTTACGTCATTTTGATAAATGAATTAACAATTTTGCAAAGAGTGACATGATGAATATGATGTCCCGAAATCTACATACCCTTCCATGCTTTTTCTTTCCTTCCGTTTTTATGCTATAGTGTACGTCATTTCCTTCCTTTTCTGTTTACAGGTGTCTATGTGTGTATTTAATCCATCTTATTCCGTTCTATAGTGTCACGTCCCTAGCCTGCCTTCCTTTTTGGAAAGAACCATCTAGGCTAAACTCAGAGATTAAATTTAGTTCTATTGCCAATTGTAGGCAAGACTTTATGAAATCATTTAACTTCCTTTATAGTCTAATTTCTCTGTGTTAAAATGAAGACAATATCTGTCTGTCTTAGCGAGATACTCTTATGGAAAGAGAAATCACATTCTCAAAGGACTTTGTAAGATAAAATTTCTATATAAATACCTGGCTTAGGTTGTGGTTACATTATTGCCTCGAGTTAAATCTTTTTTTTTTTTTTAGAGGTTTTTTTGCTATAGGGCGCGTGCACTCGCAAGCAGAGAGAGACAGAGAGACAGAAAGCGAGAAATCACCCCCCAGGGGGGATGGCCACACGGTAGTCCTTTCTCCTCCAGTCTCCTCTTGGGATCTTGGGCACGCATGCACATGCGCCTGGCATGAGTTTTAAGCCACCATGTCCGGGACGCGAACCGTGGTCGACTACATGGGAGTCCAGCAACATAGCCATTCCGTTAACTTCTGGTCCCAAAATTTATTTACCTTTAGAGAGATTTTTGCTATAGGGTGCATGTGCTTGCCCAAGAGAGACAGACAGAAAGCGAGAAATCACCTCCCAGAAGGATGGCTACGCCACAATCCCTTCTCTTCCATTCTCCTCTCAGGATTTTGGACAGATATACACATGCGCCCGGTGTGAGTTTTAAGTCTCTGGGTCTGGGACTCAAACCACAGTTGACTACATGGGAGTTCAGTGACAAAGCCATTATTCATCTGCTGGTTGCTAAAATAGATATATTTGATAATACAGAAAATGTTGAGTTCTTACTTTCTAAACCAACTTTAAATTCTAAGGGTAGACTACTACTTCTTTAAATTCATAAGTATACATAAAGCCCTCAGAGTTACCAGGATTTTTTCTTAAAATAAATGTATTCAATGTTTTTTCCTTTTTCCATTTTTTTCATTTACTTAGAGTCTAGTATGGCATAGATATTATGCTACATGCTAGCTAGAAACAAAAGACTAGAATAATCTGTTCCCTCAAGGAACAAAGAATTCCTTAGTTGCTAGGCTTTTTTTTTTTTTTTAATATAGAGATTTGTTTATTACTTTTTGGTTTATAAACAAAGGCACCCAATAATGCTTCTCTTTATTTCTTATAAAAGTTTATCAATTTACATTTAAAACAAACAAGCAAACAAACCTCCCTCCCCAAAAAACCACAAAGTCCTGAATCAGTTCCTGTAGACAAACACAAAAAGGGGAGGAATTAGATTTCTTTTTCTTCCCTGCTTCCAAGCTTTACTACATAGATTCAAAGAATGTCTGTTTAATGCCGTCCTCAAGTCTAAGAATGCGGTATTGCCATGCTTCTCTGCATTGAATTTTAAGACATATTCATGCTGCCAAGTCAAATCTAAATATAGTCACAATGACATAATTTACATATGTCAGAGTTCGGAGTGAATGGGGAGGGAAGAGAATCCAAATGTTTCATAATACAGTTTTAGCAGATGAGTTAAGTGAAATATTAAGTGTATTTAATGGGTTATGCTGTTAAATAGTGAGTTTGTGCAAAAAGTACAATCAAATAGAACTAAAAACCATACTTAGCAAATAACACAAGTGAGTTTTAAAAATTTAAGTTTGACTTAAACTCACAGTTTCATTGGTGGGGATTAACAACCTGTATATTGGGTTGTAGGAGAAGTCTTGAAGTATTTTTGCATAGAAAAACAGAAAAAATATGCCATGACTTTTGTGATGACCCAATATATATATACTCTTTGCGCTGACTTTAGAACTGTCAATTCCAAAATGTCAAACTTACTAAATTTATTCAATAGTTTTCTTTTGACAACACAATATAAACAGACATACGAAATTAGTGCAGGTACATCAGCACCCTCCCAGTTAGCATTTTTTTTTTTTTAGGTTAGCTTACAAGAACAATAAAACAGCTCAAGAAGATACATACTCCCTGTGCACTTCATAGGCCTGCCCAAGTTATAACCGAATTCTTTAGTGAGACCAAAAACAAAACAAAACAAAAAAACATACCTAATCCTAAGTATATAATACATCTAATTCTACGTATATTCAACAGAAGTATTAAAAAATACAAATATTAGTGTGTTTCAACACATTATGGAAATATATTTGGAGAGATGGGGTACTCAGTATATATTGCATAGGCTTCTTTAAATCAAAGGCATTATAATTTGTTTTATTTTCAGATACTATCATGGTATCTAAGACTTTATTCTTATTCCAAAGAAGATACAGATATTTATGTACATATTTAGTTTTTAAATAATATTTAAAAATTTTACTACAGAAGGTCTGGCTTCAACACGGAAGCATTTTTCTTTTCAAGATAATACACCTGCATGGAAGAAGGTAATTTCCTTTATATTTAGTATTTTTCACAATAGCAAAATAAACTTCTTATATATTGCATTTAAACTGACAAAGAAAATTGATATGTAAAGTTCCATGTATTTTTTTTGTATTGTGAACTGTTCTCTTTAAATATAATCAAGATACATTGCTAATAATTTATAGTAGAAATTGATCAGTTTAATCAAAAGTGTTATGCTGAACAATCTGTTAAGACAAATATATTTAAAACTGTAAGTAGAATGAACTACTTTTATGATTTAAAGGGAATTATAGTGTATTATTAAAATGTACATCAATTTTCTTGTTATTACTTATTTCTATAATGTATTTCTTTCTAAAGCAAAAACTACGTGAAGAAAAAATTAATGATATCTTCAAACTCATTCAACAGTTTGCTACTGTATGTGATATGTAAATAAAACCCTTTATTTAATTATATACACATTATTTATGCATTATTTTATTTCCGTTGAAGAAATTCAGTTTTCAAAGTCAAAATTAATATGTTTTTACACACTTGAAGGCATTTTCTTAATGTTATTACTACCTACAAATACATTCTTCCATAATAATGCACTTTCAGTTTTCATTGGAAAGACAGTGCAAGACTTAAAAGTCCTATGAATAAAATTTATGAAGGGAGGAGAGCATAAGTATGGTAAATCCTTCCCCACTCCCAACTAAATCTCAAGAAATCCTTCTGTTTCAAAACATGAACACAATTTCACAGGATTTTTATTTGATATAATGTAGACAAGAAAAATCTATTTCTTTTTTTATACTAACCATTTTACTGAATTTGTTTTCACTTTCTTTCAAAAACACATAGCACGTATGGATACAGATTCTTAAACCCATTTAGCTCCAGCAGGATCTTTAGAATAATATGTAGCCTTCTGATTATGAAAGCAATTGATTGCTTATAGAAAAATGATATGCACCAACATTTAATCAGAAAAAGAAAAATAAGAATATGCCTTTCATGTTCGATGTCACTCAATAATTCACAGAATGACATTAAAATGGTTTGGGTATAATTTCAACCAAATTAAAACCCACTTGAACTGACAAAACAATTAAACATTGAAGAATCAAGTATCTACCAACTTAGCTGGTATTTCTATCCAAATAAATGCTAAATAAATAATATTTGTGGTTTTAGTAGCTACTGTAGATTTGAGCTGGCATTCCACAGCGTGTTCACTAGGTTTTTCATGAGCATAAACATTAAAAGGTAACATAAAATATTCCATAATTTACTCCACACCTCGATCTAAGACTTTTTTATGAGAGGTTTTTGCTAGAGGGCACGTGCACTAGCCAGAAAGACAGAGAGAGACAGAGAGACCAAAAATGAGAAATCCCCCCCTAGGGGGGATGGCCACACCACAATTCCTTCTCTTACATTCTCCTCTTGGGATCTTGGGCACACATGCACACACGTCAAGTGTGAATTTAAGCTGCCAGATCTGGGACTCATACCGCCATGAGAGGTTTTTGCTAGAGGGCACGTGCACTAGCCAGAAAGACAGAGAGAGACAGAGAGACCAAAAATGAGAAATCCCCCCCTAGGGGGGATGGCCACACCACAATTCCTTCTCTTACATTCTCCTCTTGGGATCTTGGGCACACATGCACACACGTCAAGTGTGAATTTAAGCTGCCAGGTCTGGGACTCATACCGCCATCAACTGCATGGGCATCCAGTGACATAGCCATTATACCAACTGCTGGTCCCCCCCATTTAGCTTTGCTCCTTCTTGTTGGACAACATATTCTGCCA